TCAAGTCTTGCAACTTGCTAAGGCTTTTCGATCTCTTAAGTTAATAAAGAAGGACAACCTGGTTTCCTTTGTGGTAGGAAAATAAAATGATTACGTGGAACAACATCTACTTATCTCCTTTAGCTGACAATAAGAAAGTTTTTGTCTAAGACATAAAATTCAAGAGCTTTCCAGACTTCCTGCTTCAGGGTGTACATCCCACATCATACACAACTGAAACATCTTTCAAGTAACTTATGTAAGGAAAACAAATTGGTTTAAAACATCTAAACTTTAAATAACAAACACCATTCACTAAATGCTATATTTGATTCTTAACAAAAGTTTTGTAGAAAAAGGCATTCACCTTTGTACCACTAAAGGTGCTGCATCCTATCTGGTCCCCACTTTTGCGGGGCCTTCTCAAATTACCTTGTATTTATCTGTGTATATGTTATATCCTCCAAAAAGAATGTAAACTCCTTGAAATCAAGGACTTTGTGATTTTTGTCTGTGTATCCTTACTGGTTAGTTGAGTATGGACACAGAGTAGACTCTTAATAAATACATATAGGATTGAATAGTCAAACATGGCCACAAAAAGAATATGATCTCTGATGATTTAAGAAACATCTTACTGTTGACTATGTATACCTAGCACCACTAAGCTAAGATTTTTCTTTCATTCAAAATGATGCAATTACTGTACAAGCTGAGTATGCAATTTATCCATGTCAAAGTCACTGATAAAAATATCCCTGTATTATGCCACTAGAGATCTCCCTGAGGGTAATATTGCTCAATTAATCAATACTTCTTAGATAAGGTTGTTCTAACAGTTATGAAAACATTTGATTTTACTAAAATGTAGTCCACATTTCTCTATTTTATCCACAAGATATCATGGGGAATTCTGTCAAATAAATATCTTGCTAAAATACAAATACATTACCCCACCTCCACCCGCAGTCTTCTCATACTCTTTCTGTGGAGTAGTTTATAAAGAATATCGTACTCGGAATTAAAAAGATCTGGATTTCACCTTCTGATTAGAGGGCAGGGGGCCTTTGGCTCCAGGGCCTCTATTGAAGGAGGGAGCTCAGCAGAGCTTTCTCCCTATTTCCCACCAGCTACACTGCTTTTAGACTTCTTTAGATTTCTTCATCATGCCTCATTCTTCCCTCCTCTTACCTTTACAACTTAATTTTGTGTATTGTTTTCTTGTTAGATTGTAAGTTCCTAGCGAGTAGGAACTGTCTTTGTTTTTATTTGTATTTATATCCTCTGTACTTACTAGTGCCTGGCACATAGTAGGCACTTCATAAATGCTTATTGACTCTCATTTACTGTATGTATCTGAAACATGGACGTATGTGTATACATAAATAGTAGTCAGTAAATGTGCACTGATTGAAATCAAGTCTTGTAATTTAAGACTTTTTGTTTTTGTTGCATTTTTGGTTGTATTTTTTTAAGAATTATTTTGAAAACAATAAAATTTTGGTATAGAATGTAGATAGGACTACAGGTAACAGATTTGAATGCAAAATCATATATCTTAGTGTTTTCCATGAACACAGGTTTTCTGAATGAAATTTCATAGCAGAATGGGCCTGCAGAATTACCTCTGTAAATAAACTTTAATCTCTTTTATAATCTAAAAAAAAAAAAGGAAGAAAGACTTGGATTTAAAGCCTACCTACTTACTAGCTCTGTGACCCCTGGGCAAGTTACTGGATCTCTCTGTGCCTCAGTTTTCCTCATCTGTAAAATGAGGGGGTTGGACGTGATGACCTTTAAGGTCCCATTCAACTCTAAATCTATGATTCTATGATCCTATAAAACTGTCCAAAAAGTCTAATGAGGTACTGGGATCAGTCAGTGACAGCCCATTCCTTATTGTAGGCATAGCATGCTCTGCCTAACATAACCCCTACGTGGACTTTGGAGCACATGTGTTGTTGATGGTCTGCTTGCTATGTGAAGAAATCTTTCAGTTGGCTGCCGAGTCAGAACTGAGAATGCCTTTTTTAAAAAGGGCACTAACTTTGGGGTCTCCTTCCAACCTGGATGAGTTCTAGTGGGGAGTTCTGTAACTGTCTGTGTAAGGAGATCATAAAACGTTACCTCTCCACTGGGGTCGCTACCATGTGGCAACTGAGCTCATGGTCTCGATGTTGCTTTTGTTTCTGTTGTATTTATGCTTTCTACCTTATAAGCTTCAAAAAGTTGGGAAAGGTGATATGAATAGGCAATTCTCAAAGCAATACATTCAAGACATCAATATCTATGTAAAAATGCTCCAAACCACAAATAATTAGAGAAATGCAAATTAATGAAACTGAGTTTTACCTTACACTAATAAGATTGGCAGGTAGCTAGATGGCGCAGTGGCTAGAATGCCAGGCCTGGAGTCAGGAAGACTCCGCTCCCCAAGTTCAAGTCTGTCCTCAGACACTTACTAGTTGTGTGATCCTGGGCAAGTCACTCAAACCTGTGTGCCTCAGTTTTCTCATCTGTAAAAAGACCTGGAGAAGGAAATGGCCACGCCAGGATCTTTGCCAAGAAAACTCCACATGGGGTCATGAAGAGTCAGACATGATTGAAAAATAAGATTGGCAAAGATGACAGAAAATGAAAAATGGTAAATGTTGGAGGGGCAGTGAGAAAACAGGCACATTAAAGCACTGTTGGTGAGGTTATGCATTAATATAGCTATTCTGAAAAACAATTTGGAACTCTGCTCCTAAAGTCATTAAACAATGCATATACTTTGATCTAATGATACCTCTAATCATACTCCAAAAAGGTTGAAGAAATAGGGAGAAAGGACCCATATGAACATTAATATTTATATCAGCTATTTTTTGTAGTGGCAAAGAACTGAAACTAAGGGGGTACCTATCAACTGGAGAATGGCTAAACAAATTATGGCATATAGATTTAATGGAATACTACTGTCAGAAGAAATAATGAAAGGCCTGGGTTTAGAAAAACCTAGGAAGACTTACATAAACAAAAGATGCAGACTGAAGTGATCAGAACTAGGTATTTATATAGTAATAACATTGAGAAGACAGCCAACTTTGAAAGAAATACATCTCTGGATCACGACTAATCATGATTTTAGAAGACTAGTGATGATCAATACTCTTACGCTCCTGACAGAGGGGAAAATGCAAAATGATACAAACATTTTTTTTGGACAAGGACAATGTGGGAATTTACGTTGCTTAACTATGCATATTTGTTACAAAAGTTTAGTTTTTCTTTTTTCCTTTAAAATGGGAGGGGGTAAGAAGAAAAGCAAATAATACTTGTTAATTAAAAAATAAGATGAAATGAAAAAGAGACATTGAGGGATTGTTAGAGATTTGGGAGCTGGAGTTCATGCCAGATTCTGTGGACAAGAGAGAGAAAGAGAGGCAATGACTTTAGCTATGAAATATTTAAGAGAGAAAATGGTGGGGCAAAAACTATGTTAGGAACTGCTTTCAGTTTGAGCCTACTTTCCCCTGGAACCCAGGGAGAATGTATCTTTGAGTGTTTTGGGGGGATGTTTGTACTTCTGTTCTTGCTATATCTGGCAAATATTCTATAAAAGTTAATTGATGTTAATTAGCTAAATGAAACTGGGGTGCTAATGACTGGCAGTTAACATTGCAAAGAACACAGAATGGGGCTTGAGCTGACAACATCAGAAAGATACCCAAACCTCAGAGGGATACTCCTAGAAGTTTGATGGGGAGAGGTAGCTGGCCATGCTCTGAGGCCTCAAATTGTTAATATGAACATGATTTAGGATAAGGATCCTTAAAAAGACTATAAAAAGAAATAAAGCTAATTCTCCCTCAATATTCTTGCCTGTTTGCTTTTTTCTCCCTATACAAGGTTTCTGGTTTTATCTAATTCCATGAAGCATCTTATTAATATTATGCTTGGTTTTGCTTCAAACTAATTAGAAAATACTCATATTTTTACTCTATTGGCTTGACCTTGCCAAGTGCTCTATTTTCTATAATAGTACTACAGTCCTCTAATAGAACTACAATCCTCTGTGGCTTTCTCAGTAATTGTTTGTTTGCAGTCCTAGTTTTCCATGGAAGTGGCTCCCTTTTGAACCACTATCCTTTATCCTCCCACACTGCAGTCATATTTGGGAGAAAGACAGGAATTTCTGAAGATCTTTCAGCTCCAATCCCCTCCTATACCATTTATCATTGTGTTTTCCCTCTTGCAAACAGGAACCATAGAGGTATATGAAGACCTATGAAGGTTCTAATACAAACATTTTATTTAAAAACATATGACTAAATTATTCTATAAGTTCCAGTACATATTGTGGTCCCCCCACATTTCCCATCCTACGATGAAGAAAAAGAACTCACATTTCTAAAACATCCTAATGTTTTACATTTTCTCACAGCGACCAAAAGTATACTATTCAAATCTTGATGAAATGACCACAAAATTCATTTGGAGAAACAAAAAATACAGAATATCAAATAAAATATTAGAAAAAGGCAGGAATGAAGCAAGAATAGTTCTTCTAGACCTCAAACTATATTCTAAAACTGCAATCATCCAAACTATTTGCCGCTGGTTTAAAAAAATGTAGATCAATTGACCAAGTATTTGAAGGGCTGACATGTGAAAGAGACAACAGACTTGTTTCCCCTGGCCACAGAAGGGGGGAAATAGGAACAATGGGTGGAAGCTGCAAAGAGATAAATGTAGGTTTGATGAAACGAAAAACTTCCTAACACATCCCTCAAGAAGTGGAACGCACTGCCTTAGGAGGTAATGGGTTCATCTCACTGGAGGCCTTTGACTAAAGGCTGTGTCACCATGTATAGGTTGTATTATAGAGGTTTGTCTCCCCCATACAGGTATGAGACAAATGGTCATTAGATGACTCAAGAGATCCTTTTAGACTTTTAAATTGATTCTGTAATTCTATATTACACATCAATGCTTATGATTTTAAAAACGGACATCTACATGAAAACACAATATCCTACCTGGCCCATTAAGAAAGTCTTTAATTTGTAGAACAACAAGAGAAGGTGGAATTCCACTTTTGGTATCTATTTCTCCAGCTACTGTCTGTAACCAGACCTTGGAGTAATCCAGAGCTTCTGGCAGTGTCTTCCCAGGATCTGAAGTGACAAAATCATAATCATAACCATTAATAACATTTCAAGATTATAAATTGGGTCTTTCAAGAAATCAAGGAAATCAGCTCCAATACAGCAGGCAAATACTTCTTAAATATTTAGCAATGATACACAATGTGTTTACAATATAGCTGTACGTATATATATGTGTATACACACAAACATACACACACATCGTAATTCCAAGATTGAGTTACTAACAACATCTGCTATATGTAATATAATAGCTACTGAAGCAGCTAAGAGAATAAAGATCAGCTGAAATTTTACTTATTTCATTTTTCATTAAAGTCTATGTTAAACAAATTGCTGACCATTAAGTGAATGCTGGAGAGGTTTGTTGGCCGTTTTTTTTTTTGTACGATGCCAGAACCAAACTAAAAAAACAAAAAAGTAAACTTTACAGAAGCTTAAAACAGTGGAACACACTTACTTAAAGATGCCATTGATTAGTATTGCTTAAAGAGTTATTTGATCTAATTAGGGGTTTCACTGACATTGTAATCACTTTTTATTGCTAAGCTTTTGAAATTTCCTTCAGTAGCTTTTCCTAATTAACCTAAATGATCTAAAAAAAAGTCAGTTCCTTAAGATCCACAATTAAAAACAAAACTTGAGGTATTCAACTTTATATGTTTACTACTACATAGTTTTATTTACCCTTTTTTGGCTATTGATTATGGAAAAATAAGTGAGTTTTACTTTTTTAATTCTTGGCAATGTTACTCTTAATGAAATAACTCTTTAAAAACGATTGCTGTATCTTGGCATATAATTACTTTTCTGTGTTTTTTTTTTTAACCTAAATATTCAGTTTTCCTTTAGTTCCAAGGTTTTTTTCTGTGTGTTTTAATGGCCTCAGAATGTAAATTTTCTAGAGATGCTCTTGCTATAGAGTCCATCTATCCCATTTTCATTTAATTTGAAAAGTCTTAATAAAGTATTATTTATTTTCGGTTTTATTGATTGGATTACTTTCAAGAATGGCATTTACATACTATATTCAACAGATGGTCTTACACTAACACTGTCATATGTGAATTGGCACATAAATTTTACCTTGGAATTTGTATTTCTTGACCTTGTCATGTGATTCTGATGAAAATCTGGCACTTATGTACATTTATGTAATTTCAAAGAAAATACTGAAACCAACTGATGGTGATGTCAGACCTATGTGGTAAAGATCAAATGCTATCAGTGCATTCTTTTTTTTTTTTTAATAAATATGATGCATGTTTTTGAAGCAGTGAGTATATGAATTACTAAGCAATGCTATTCTTAGTCTTGCTCTCAGAGTATGGCCTTGTACATGGGTTGTTGCTAGTAAGACAGGCTCATGTTTCTAGCATTCTAATAAATTTGCTATTGTAAGCAAAGAAATTACAAGGTTACTTCTTAAACGGGGGGGGGGGGGGGGTCACGACCCCATGGAAAATTTGGCAACAGTAAAAGGTTTCTGAATGCGCAAAGCCCACAAAGGAAACTGAGGTGTTTCTGGCAGTACTTGCCTGTGCTGCATCGAGCAACTTCACAGCAGCCTAGATTCTGAACACAAAGCACTCTCACTTTGCACTGCGCGTGCATGCAACAGCTGCCAAAAAATGAGAAGAGGGGTTGCCAGTGGAAAAAGTTTATGAAGCCCTGGGTTAGAACACAGAATCTGGATCTGCACAGAGTTCTGACTCTGAAATTTCTTTACCTGATTATAATCTTTTATTTTTTCATTTTACCATGACCTCTAATCCTTCCAGCTGTCACCTGTCACCCTTGGACCATCTACACTACACTACCTTCCCTTCCCTATCTCAACTCCTTGGTGAATCAGTTCAACTCTATACTATCCCCTGTACTTTAGTACCTTGTACTCTTTTCTTATCTCCAATTATGCCTTGGCAAACCTCCACCATGAATTACTCTTCCCACCATCTGCCTCCTTTGCTCTTATTCATGTGTTGCTGAATGGGGCTGGAGAAAATCATGAAATTATGCTGACTTGGGAACACTAAATTTATGTTACATGATCTCAACTGGGCTCTTCCTGCAGCAAGGCACTCCGTTTACTTTTCCTTAATCATTTTTTCTCCCATTTACCACACCAGCTATTCCAAAGCTTTTCATCCTTCCTTAATCCTCCCATGGAACCCTCTCCCTTAAAGCCAGTCAGTGTGCCACATACTTCTTAAGAAAAATTAGAATATTCACTAAGAGGTCCCTCCTCTTTTCTTTTCTTCCTTATCTCTCATTATTTTGATGTCTTCACTCACAGTCTTTTCCTTCTTTACTTCTGTCTCACACAAAGAAGTATACCTTTTCCTTGCCAAGGCAAACTTTTCTACATGTAACACTGATCTCATTCTATCCCATCTTCTTCAATGAATTTCCCTCTTTATCATTCCCACCTCATCACTAATCTTCAGTCTCTCCCTATCTAGGCTAACCAGGCTGGTTGCTTGGTGCCTATAAACATACCCCATGATCTGATAATTCCTTCTATCTTATTATATCTCTCTTCCCTTTTTTGGGTAAACTTGAGAAAGCTTCAAAAGCTAGGATATGTAGAACTTCTAAAAGTTTGTAAAGTGCTTTACCAATATTTTCTCATTTTGTCCTCACAACAATCCAGGGAACTAGGTACTATTATTGTTATTCCCATTTTACAAACAGGGCAACTGAGAGAGAGGTTAAGTGTCTAGCTAGTAAGTATCCAATGCAAGATTTAAACTTAGGTCTTCCTCACTCCAGAAAGCAGCGAGGTAGCTCAGTAGATAGACTGCTGGGCCTGGAGTCAGGAAGATCTGAGTTCAGATACTGCCTCGGACACTTCCCAGATGTGTGATCCTGGGCAAATCACTTAATCTCTGAATGCCTTAATATACTGGAGAATGAAATGGCAAACCACTCCAGTATCTTTGCCAAGAAAACTCCATGAAGAGTATGGTCCACAGGGTCATGAAGAATTGGGTACAAGTGGACAACAACAAGAACAGCTTCTTCACTCCAGGTCCAGTGTTTTATCTATTGTACCACCTAATTGTGATCTCCTGGAGGGCAGAGACTGTCTTAGCCCTTCTTTGTATCCCCAGTGCTTAACCTAGCGCCTAGGAAGTGCTTAATAAATGTTTGTTGAATGACTAATGATGGCACTACTGAAGATCTGTAAAATGCTTTATACCTTTATCTTATTTGAGCTATATACAGCAATCCTGCGAGGTAGAGAGATTGAGGTTAAGAGAAACTTCCCACAGAAGGTGTCACTTGAGATGAGCTTTGAAGGAAATTAGATATTCAAGGAGAGAATTTATTCTAGGCATGGAAGACAGTGATCAACAGAGGAGTTCTACATTTGATCAGAGAGGTTAAAGAGCATTTTTGAAGTTTACTGAGCAGGGCAGTGACAGGTCCTAAACCTGGTCAGAAGGATTCAGCAGGGTGAGATTAGAAAAATGTAGAGACATTAGTGAAACATGAATGCCCTGGGGCCTACCGTAAAGGTCTCCTAGATCAGATCAAAGGAATACAAAGTACAAAACTGTCCAAGCAACAAACTCCTAGAAAAATAGGATGTACCAAATAGAAGTTAATAATTCCATAAGACACCAAGAGATATTAAAATCAATCCAAAAAAAGAAAAAAGAAAAAAAGAAAAGAAAATGTAGGGTATTTCAACAAAAAACAAAATACAATAAACCCCCTGACCAGGAAAACAAATCAAGTAGAAAAAAATTTAAAAATTGTTGGACTACCTGCATGCCATGACCAAAACCCAAACAAACAAAAAAAATAGACCATAATTCAAGCAATCTTAAAAGAAAACTAGCCAGATCTCTTGGAACCAAAGGACAAAGTGGAAATAGAAAGAATCAATCCACTGGTCACCTCCTGAAACAAACCTCCCAAATAAAAACTCCCACAAACATTATAGCCAAAGTCTAGAGCTTCTAGGTCAAAGAAAAACTACTACAAGTAGCCACAAAGAAAGAATTTAAATACTGAGGAGCTACTTATAGTTACCACTATAACAAAAATGGAAAGCTTACCATACAATATTAAAGAAGGCAAAGGACATAGGCTAATAATCAAGAACACCTGACTCTGCAAAACTGAGTATAATCCTACAGAGGAAAAAAAAATCTTTAAAAAAAAAAAAAGGACTTCCAAGTATTCCTGATGAAAAGATCAGAACTGCATAAAAACTCTGTAGGGCAAACAAAGAAGTCAATAGAAACATTAAAAAAGTAAACATGAGTGAGCAATCATAAGGGGACTATACACAAGGCTAAACTCTGCATTTTAATATGGATTCAGGATATGCATGTCCCCTCAGAACCCTATCAGCATCAGGAGTCATAAAGAGAGTCTAATTAGAGGGTTTGGGAGTGGATCTGTTGTGTCATGATGATCTTACAATACAATACAACAAACATTTATTAAATGCCTACTATATATTAAGCACTACGCCCAGCACTTGAGATACAAATCCAGAGACTACAATCTAATGAAAGAAGATAATACACAAAATCAAGCTAAAAAGCAGGGTTGGGGGGAGGCAGAAGGGCATAATGTTGATGAAGCCAAATCAAGCAATGTGGCGGGTAGGAAATAAAGAGTTGGCTGAGCTTTTGAGCCCTTTTTAAAGAAAGTCTTTGGCAATAATTTTATCTTCCACTCTCCAGTGCTCCAATCAGAGGAAAAGAGGCAACTGAAGGTAGTAAAGATATGAGTACTAATGCTGAAGCAATCTCAGTGATGATGACTACTGATGAGCTTATCCTGGGGGCAGGGACTGGGAATGAAGATGGTGGAGCTGAGGACTAAGTAATGTAGCTGGTGGGAAATGAAGAGTTAGCTGAACTAAAAGAAGAATGGAAAGAGAAAGGAAGAATACACTAGAGAAAGGAAGGTTAGGGAAAATTATCTTATATAATGAGGGTACACAAGTAGATATCTATGTAAACAATGAGGAAGGGTGGGGTGAGCAG